TTCTTCTGCGCCCGCTCGAGCTGCTCCCCCAGCAAAGGACGCACCAGTCCCGCCAGTCGCATCGGAGAGCTCCCACACAGCTGGTCAGAGGAATGAAGAGGTGGACACGCCGCTGTCTCCTGGCGGCAGCAGTCGGCAAGGAGGTGGATCGACTCTGACGCAGGCCAAAAAGTGAGCATTGTGGGCAATGACGTAAGGGGTCAGGAAAAAAAAAAAAAAAAAAAGCTGGCTGACTCGATGGCTTCCCATGACTCCCCTCAGCATCGTCATGACAGAGGCTGGTCGAGGATCGTGGTACGACGCAGAGGGGCGGCCGATGGATGCCTACGTCGTGGGAGTAGCTGGTGGCTCGGCATCGGGCAAGACGTCGGTAGCCAAGTCCATACTACGGGCATTGCCAAACGTTCCCTGGGTGGCCATCGTCTCTCAGGATTCCTTCTACAAGTCGCTCAACGCGCAGCAGAGCAGATTGGCCCACGCAAACAATTACGACTTTGATCATCCCAATGCCTTCGATTACGAGATCTTGTACGAGTGCGTCAGGGATCTGAAAAGATCCAGAGCGGTAGAGATTCCGACGTACAGCTTTGTGGAGCACCAGCGAATGAAGCAGACCAGCTACATGTACGGCGCAACGGTGCTGATCGTCGAAGGCATATTTGTGCTGCACGATCCCGCCATTCGAGATTTGCTGGACCTCAAGATATTCGTGCAGGCAGACAGCGACTTGATGCTGGCCAGGAGGATACGCAGAGACATTGCTGAGCGTGGCAGAGACGTCGAAGGGGTGCTGGATCAGGTGCGTGTATGCGCTCGTTCAGAGCGTACCGTTGCGAGGAGAGAGGGTGGCAGTAGCGCTAGACTGACGGCGGCGCCCGCCCCTGCCTCCTTCGCCCGAAGTACTTGCGCTTCGTCAAGCCAAGCTACGACAATTTTGTCTCTGCCACTTCCAAATACGCAGACATCATTGTGCCAGGACAGAGGAATGAGGTGCGCAGGTGGCGCGCCTCGTTGCAGGGCGGGACGTCATTGACATTGTGGTCCTCGCGCCTTGTTCATCCAGGTCGCGATCGACGTCATCTCACAACACATCAAGCGCCAGTTGTCATCTCGAGCTACGCGGCTGCGCTCAGAGCTGTCAATGACCCCTGCAACTCCACGCAGGGAGGTCCGACAGTCGCCCTTCGAGATGAGCCCGTTGCCAATGGCGCGGACAGGCTCCAGCGCTCTTGCGATTCCCGAGGACCAGCTTCCTCCCAATGTGGATCTGCTCGCTCAGACCCCACAGCTGCAGGCTCTCCTCACTACGATGCACGACAAGACGGTCAGGGGCGAGGATTTCATCTTTACCATCGACCGCGTAGCAGCGCTGGTACTGGAACGCGCCACTGTCCATCTACCCCACCGCGAAAAGAAGATCACACTTTTCTCGGGAAAGGAGCACATCGGATGCGAAGTAGCTGCGGAAAACATCTGCTCCGTTTCGATTTTGAGGAGCGGGGCAATCTTGGAACCTTCTGCCAGGCGAGCCATCCCAGCTTTGCAAGCAGGCTCTCTGCTCATCCAATCAGATAAGGAAGGAGAACCGAAGCTGTACACTGTCGACCTGCCTCGGTTCCTTCGCAGTCCAACGAACGCCCAATCGGCTTGGGTGCTGCTATTAGACTCTCAATTGGGAACAGGAGCAGCAGCCTTGATGGGCGTTCGAGTGCTGCTGGATCATAACGTCAAGGAAGAGCACATCATCTTTGTTACGCTGCTAGCATCTGCACGAGGTGGTGTGCACGCCCTTCATCGAGCATTCCCAAGAGTCAAAATTGTCGTGGGAGGGGTGGACCCGGATCTGAAGAGGAGGGTTGTACCTGCCCCTCTGATCGTGCCCGAAGCGCATGCAGTGGACCCAAAAGCGGTGCGAGGAAGATCGCCCGCTACATCGAGGCTCTTGAGAGCGAGAAGCGTTGCACCTCGAAGCGCCGCATTCTCTAGCAGCACAGACTCTGCGTGGTCGGCCGACGATGAGGCGCTCACAGACGCTGTGCACTCTACGAGGGTGTGTTGGAGCATCGAACCTGGCTGCGGGTGAGTCTTCAAGAGAGTGGCGAGGCGCCATGCGACCACCAACTGACCGCTGTGCGCCGACCATTCGTTTGCAGCAACATGGGCGACCGGTACTACGGTGTCGACAGCTCAAGACAAGATGACTTGCATCCCTTCTGAATCTCACACGCACATTGTGGGGTGTACAGAATCCTTCACCCACTCACGTACTTGCGCACCCGACCGAGCCCACCATCTTGCAGCATATCAAGCAACCCACGCAGACACGTCTTGGCATCGTTAATGAGCACATCGACATTGCAATTAGGAACATCTCAATGCGCTTTAAATCCCAGTAGGGTTGCGTGCGGTTGCCTCTTGGTCTGGCTCAAGCGCTTGGTCCTCCGTCCTGGGCACCGGCTCGGCGCCGGTCGCAGGTTCGCGGATCTGGTCGACTCCACGAGGTGCCGCATCAAAGCCACCGGGGTTGTTTGCGAGTCTCTGCCAAATCGACGCGAAACATTTCTCAGCTTTGTGCGGTCCTTGGCAGGAGCGAGGCTCTTGCACGTGCGTGCAAAAACGAAGGACTCACCTCGTACGCGGCATCTTCAGGTCCTCCAGCTGTGCTTTCGAATTGGTCAGAGGATTGTCCGAGCGACTGAGCCTTGGATGAACCGCCTTCTTCGGGAGGAATCAGCTGAGGATTTGTTCCTCCG